GCGCAGCACAGCGCAGCACAGCGCAGCACAGCGCAGCACAGCGCAGCACAGCGCAGCACAGCGCAGCACAGCGCAGCACAGCGCAGCACAGCGCAGCACAGCGCGCGACACTTTCGCCGCGTCAATCACTTGAAATCGTCGCGCGCACTTATCCATATCGTGTTTTGTTTTGTTGTGTTTTGTTTATTCATTCGAAAATCCCCCATCTTATTTTAAGACTTTCTTTCAAAACACCTTATTTGTTAGAAAAATAAATAGTATTCGTCACAGGGAAAATTTTGAACCCTAACTTACTTCATATGTTTTCAGTAGGTTTAAGGTGGATTCAGAGTTCTCTAAAAGCGAGCGTGATTCTCACGCAAAGCGTGATTTTCACGCCCGGCGTGATGAAAGTCGATCCCTGATTGGCTGCGTGAAGCTTACGAAGCGTGAAAATAACGCCTGGCGTGAAAATAACGCTTGCGTTTCGTGAACTCTGAATCCACACTTAGACTATACTAAAAGCCAACTGTTTTTTTTTTCTAATTTGACAACAATCAGAAAACACGGTAATGTCATGCAGTAACTTCGTTCCCAGGAAGCAATAGAGTTTTGTGAGTGTGCTCGTGATCTCTCTCTCCCCGCACAGCTCCCCGTCGGCGCAGCGGGCGCCCATGCCACCCCGCAGGGGCGCGGCGAGAGGAGGCGCGCCGCACAGAACACTCCTCACTCGTTGTTTTCCTTTGGCGGCCGGCAGACAAAGGGGAGCCTCGCCCAGCTCACGGGGCTCAGCCCCGGCCCGGGCCGCGGCCCGAGGTTGACCCTTTCTCCAAAACAAAAGGAGCGTCACCCGGCGCTAATGTTTGGAGAGGCTCTGGCACGGCGTCTCGAGCGCGTGCTCGTGCGCACCTCAACGCCGACCGACTCTCGTGCTCGTACCTCGCTCCGCCTGGCCCCTGGAGAGGCCGAGCGCGTCGTCCAGCAGGTCCTCCACGGCCTGCAGCAGCATCTTGTTGAGGTAGGCGTCCCTGGCCTCGGGCCGCTCCGAGAGCTCCGAGAAGAAGGAGCCCCGTCGGCTCGCCGCGTCCGGGCCGTCCACGAAACCTGCCGGGGACAGAGGCAAGCTCGGTGAGGAGAGGTCCTCGTCGCGCGCGCCGGGCGGTAGGCAACACTTCGAGCGCGGGGGGCGGCCCAGGGCCGGCGGCCGGAGCCCGGCAGGTGGGCAGCACAATGCGCACCTCCCGTCCAACAGGAGGGAGGCCTGGGGAGCCCTACCTTCCTGGGGGAATGCTTCACTCAAAAATAACCAGTCTAAATCCTCAAAAAAAATCTAAACAAAATCTGAAAAATTGAAAAATTA